TGGAGCATTTAATGATATAATTTGACTCTAATACGTTGGAATTCCTTGACTTGGCCATGTGTTGTTTATATGTACTGACACGATCGCGTGTGTTCGCATGCAAAATCTCTCTTGTTTTTACCTGGTAATCTATTGTTTCCTTGGCGGGAAACGAAGCCGCAAGCTCATCTGCTTCGAAATGAGAAACGGCAATCTCAGCGGTGGAATTTCCCGTTAACTCCGAAGATACTTCTCGATCCCCAGAAGCATCGTTATTCAAAGAACCAGAATCGGCAATGATTTGGGACCCGTTCGCGAAATCTGACGATGTAGATGTCGGTAGCTGCATGCAGAGATCACATAAGATCAATATTAATAGACATCGGTATTGTTTTATAGAAGACAGCTTATAGCAGAGAAAGCAACGTACAGCTGTGTACGTATAATGAGTTAAAATCAAACAGTTGAACATCACAATAACCTTTTTATCAAGTTCACTGTAGATACCATCAGTGACGTTTTATGCCGTGTTCCGCTGTGGATGCACTTCGCGTTCATGGTTTATCTCTATTACAGGATTTGCCGGGCAGAGTGACATCGCTGTCTTCGAATGAAAAATCTCCTTCATAGTCTATATAGATCAATTAATATTATAAATATTATGAACATTTGATAAATACGAAATTTGAATTTTGCTGGACGGTCACGTCTTTGCATTCTAATGAATGCGACTAACACCTCCACTTTGACAAACTGTCGAAGAACTTTTTAGAAAGATTTCCAGAATACTATACTACAAGTTACAATAAACCAACGAATAACGAATAGTGAATGAAAGCTTGGAAAATTATACAGTTTATGTGTTGTTAAGATATTTCCTACAGGTGTGGAATAGTTGAGAAAAATTGATTAGAAAAGTCGACTCACCATGCGTGATCCTTCGATGAAGTACTTGAGGTTTTCTCGTAATTACCGCGGCTTTCTCTCAAACTTTTCCAGTTAGTTGGCACTGATCCTGGTAACAATCTTCTCAATGCCCCTTTTAAATGGCATGCTCTTGAAAAACACGATTCTAAAAAATGCTCAGAAACAACAAACCGGCCTTCGGGATCGAAGTTTTTTCTGTGAAGTCTGACAAAGTTCTTCCACTTCGCAGCAAGGGTTTTGTTAACTGGGAAGTCGTGTAGAGAGATTCCATCATGTGGATTTGATCTATTGCTGCATCCCTGCACAACACATCGAGGCGAAGGCATTGTGATATGCCAGCTTAAAATTATAATCGTAAGATTCGAACTTTTCGCGTTTATTACTCTTATAAAACCATGGAAATAACACTCATGGCTTTGACAACTTTATGTCTTGGTTGATTGGATGACGTCTCTACCGGTTTCCCCATACCTCCTCGGCCAGATTCAGTACATTCCAATCGGATTCAACAGCCTCGAAAAAGATCGTCCAAAAGATACTACTTACCGTAGGAATTTAAACTCAAAAATCGATACAGTTATTCCTTGACGTTTTGAGATCCCAAACACAAAATTTCATTGCGATCGGAGAAACTGACGTTTTTCGTCACAGTCCCGCTTTAAGCCGACAGCAACAGCAACTAGAAAAGGAGTCTGCCCTTTATGGTTAACCGCCATGATATCTGCGCCCCTCTCAGCAAGTCGTTGCAAGATCTCTGGGGTTCCTCTAGCTGCTGCTCTGTGAAGAGGAGTGTCTCCATTGTTGTCCTTTACCTCAATGTCCAGCCCTGATCCAAAATATGATTCAGAGCAGTGACATTCCCCGATGTTGCAGCGAAATGTAAAACTGTTCGACCAGTTACTTTATCAACAACATGCAGGTCGCAACCACTCTCAAGAAACGCTTCTATTAAGTGCTTGTCCAAGAGATAACTTTCTGCTATCGCTCCTAAAATTGTTTGCCCATTAGGAGGTGTGGCATTCACGTCGCCTTCATGATGAATAAGAGATTCGACGGCCTCTCTGCAACCATACTTTGCTGCTAGGAGGAGGGCGGTTCTTCCTTTTATGTCTTCAGCACCAACATCGATTCTATTTTGCGCCAAAATTTCACAGCTTCCAAATTGTCCTCCGGCAGCAGCAAAATACAAGGGTTTCCAACCCCACATGTCAGCTGAATGAACATATGCACCATGTTCAATCAATAACTCAACGGAACTTGCGCAGCCTTCGTAAGCGGCAGCATGAAGAGGCGACCGATCTTCCTTGTCCAGGGATGTCAAGTCCGCTCCTTGCTCAAGGAGCCACTCAATAACAGAACTTTGTGTTACCATCTTTTGCGGCAAAATGCAACGGCGTCTCACCATTTATATCTCGTAAATTTAATTCGGCTCCATGGTTCACAAAAAGCTCAAATGTTTCCCTCGTGGCTATTAGCGGGAAATAGTAAAGGGGAGATCTTCCATATTCATCAGTAGACTTGACGCTGCAACCATGATCCAAAAGAGTTCTGATAAGGCTGGTCAGTCCTTCAGTCTCTGATTCCAAGAACTGCATACTTTTTAGAGCATGAAAAGGAAGGGATATTTGTCCTTTGTATGAACATTACTTCCATGACGTATCAAAAGCTCGACCATGGGTAAACGACCAACACCTACTGCTTCAATTAAGGCCGCACTACCCGACGAGTTTTTGGCCTCCACATTCACACCGTATTCCAATAACAGTTTTGCAGCATCCAAACTATTTGAACTTGCGGCTGCATGTAAGGGCGTCGATTTCTCTCCATAAGATTTCTCTTCAGGACATGCACCGTAGTGAAGCAATGTCTTGACAAGTCGACTATTATCGTGTTGAGCGGCATAATAAAGTGGAGAAAAATACCAGTTAGCATCATGAACGTTTGGTTCACAGCCAAGTTCCAGAAAAAGTTCAGCTACTTTATCTAAATTCGCAGAACAAGCTATCTGAAGGGGCGTTTCAGACCTGCCATTCTTGATGTTGATGTCGGCACCGTACTCCATTAGGAGCTTCACAAGTTCCATCGCACGAATGGGTGCTGCGGACTGTAGAAGGATAGAAAGCGCAGTATCCCCTCTTTCATCCCTTGCATTGACATCCGCACCTTTCTCCAAAAGACGGGGAATAGAAAGATATTCTCTTTTGGAAAGGGCTGATATTAGTGGAGTTTTGTCATCTTCCACCTTGACGAGGTTAACGCCATTATCAGAGAGCAGTTGGGCAAGATCCGCATCGTTGGCAGCAAGGTCTGCAAGAGTGCTAATATCAATGCCGTCTCTCTTACAGGCGGACTTGATGGCACTACGTTTGATCAGAAGTTTTGCTACTTCGATGTGCTTCGCAAACAAGGCATGATTCAATGGCGAAATACAGTCCTCTGGATTGTACTCGTCTTCCTCATCTCCTTCGCCATCTTCACTCTCACCGTCACTATTGTCACATTCCATTTCTGTAATTTGTGTTGCAATACCGCAATTTATGTTAGCTCCTTTATCTAGCAGTAAAACGACTGTGTCGTAATGGCCACCCCCAGCCGCTGCGGTCAGGAGTGTCATACAACATCTATATCCTGTATCAATTGCAGAGAATCCTCTTTCCATAACGAGTTGCAACACATTTGTGAGCCCTTCTTTGGCAGCTTGCATGAACACATCCTCCTCCCCAAGGACAAGTTCGTTTGTGGATCTCATTCTTAAATCTCAATTTTGGCTGATCAAAACCCCCAAGCAGCATCCCCACGCCCATTGTAAAGAGCGTCCAACAAAGAAGAGTAGCCTGCCTCGTCGGCTGCATTAATATCGGCATCTTGATCTAAGAGAAAGGTTATTGTGTCAGATAGCCCCTTTCCAGCAGCTGCATGTAATGGGGTTTTGTAAAAGTAATTTCTTGCGTGAATGTCGGCTCCCTGCTCCACAAGTAAACGAACTAACTCAAGACTGGTTGCTAAGTGAAGAACTGTATCCCCGTTACTCGTCCTGCCAAATACACTGCAATTGCTTTGCAGAATGAGTTTAACTACATCTACGTGTCCACCTTCTACAGCATGGCGAAGGGAAGCCTTCCTGCTTCATCGTTAACAACAATGAAATCACACCCATTTTTCAACAGCAATTTGATTGTTTTAAGGTGGCCATTTTTTACTGCTAATGTAAAAGGAATCATAAAAATGCAATTGGCAATCTTTACATTAGCACCATGCTCTAAAAGGAGACGGACTGCCTCTGTGTGACCGTTTTTAGCCGCAAGGTGCATCCCTGAGGATTCCTTATGATCTACCTTTGAAACATTACATCCGAGCTGTATTAGTCGAAGAATATTTTCTGATTTACCACCCATCGCAGCGTGATGTAATGCAGTGAACCCTCTATTATCTTCGAGCTCTAGTGATGCTCCTCTTTCAACAAGAAACTCTACAACATCTACCTCATTAAAGCTGGCCGCCAACATAAGAGGTGTTTCTCTCAGGGCGAGATAATCAGGCATCCTGAAATTGACATCCTCTCCGCAGTCAAGTAGTCTCCTAACATGCTCAACTTGTCCCCTTTTCTCAGCCAAATGTAAAAGTGATTGGCCTTGGAAATGCTTGATAACTTTTTCCACAAACTCGCTAATCTGTCGATGATCTTTCGAGTCACGCTGCCTCAAGACGGTGTAAATGGATTTGCCAGCGAAGCGTGATGCATTCCAGCCAATCTTAATGCTAAACGCTATTACACTGTCAAGCTTATCTATACTATAATTCAAGATTGCGCTAACTGTATCGACATTTTCCCTTATGCAGGCTGACTGCAGGCAGCTCAGGCCACTGTCTTTGTCAGGAGTACTCAGATAACTAAAAGCCAAACTCTTCAAAGGGATCTAGAAAAAGACATATCGATTATGTTGTAAGCTCGTAAATTTTAAGCACAATCACTGCACAATAAAACTGGCATGAAAAGAACAACAACAACAACAGTATCAACAAGGGTCCGAAAGGGAGGAATAGCGTCGACTTGACAAGTTGTCAAATCCGCTCTTTCAGTTAGTCTTTTTTTTTGTAAAAGAGAGCAGAGGAAAATTCAATCGTTAGGTCGAAAAAAGCAGTGTGTTCCGATGGTCGCGCTCAACAACCAGCTTGTTGTAGGAAAGTACTGAGCGAACCTAACACAACAGTCAAAGGTCAGCACATGTGCCAACTTTGTAATGACAAACTGGCGTGCTTTCAGGGTGTCAGAATCAAGTTGTCATCAAACACATATGCCATTGCTAAATTGACTGTGTTTTAAAAGCATATAACTTTTTATGGTAAAGCTCAAAACAGAATGGTGATTCAACCCGTACTTATATGAGCTTTGTGTTTGAAAAGTCCCAAATTTTCTTTTCCCTTACATTTTTTTAAGAGATTTCTAGGAACGTTTCAAAATTTCTTTCACTTATTTTCCGTGACAATGCTTGTTTCGTATGTTTTCCTTTGTCGTTTTGCGCAGGAAATTGGCGACCGGCCGGTAAGAATTGATAGCCTCGCGCATGCCTGACGTTTGACCACTGTGTTCCTTAATGTTCTGTCGTCGGTCATGTCGGTATTTATCCCCTGCTGATTAGTTCCCTTGTCCATTTTTAATTGTTTCACTAATCAAAATTCAATGATTGCCGGATACCCAGATTACCTATCAAGATTCTCGCATGCACTTTTCCCACAACCTTTCAGCAAACAGCTGCATATACCCGTCCTTTGATTAATTTAGCACTAAGTAACTAGAGGGGAACTAAAGCATCTCAGTTCTCCTGACAGTACTATATAATTACTAAATCATTTGTTAAAATCCTGAGAATAATGGAAATGATCCACAGCCTAAGAAGCTTAATTGTTTAAAGAATTCTCCTTGTCAGCATCACAGAGAATGTAGAGAAAAGAGTATGACAAGTATCTGTTCTGAGTTTAGGGTGTAAAGGCTCATGAATATATTGAAATATTTCTATGTTGCCAAAAAGGCAAAGTATCAAGAATGATATGCCCCATGATAAATGGTCACATTTTTAACCTTAAAAAAGTAACTTAATTTCGAATGAAAACACAAATTTACTGATAAACTAGGTCAGGGGTTATAGGCAGGGAACTTTTTAACTCTGAGTGGTGTGGGAGAAATAAAATGGCACCTTACACTTGGCATTTGGAGGCGTGCTGGCCTCATGGTTGGTGTAAAGGCTGATAGTTTCGAAAGAAACTGTTTGGGGCTGCGTCGGTGGGAGTAACGAAATAACTTGGATATATCAACAAAGTTGAAGTGGTAAATTGGCCACCGTAACGATTATAAAAGCTGACGTTTCGAGCGTTAGCCCTTCGTAGGAGCGAATAGAGGAATTGTGGGTTGTGTGTGCTTTTAAAGGCAGAGAATGGAGCTACGTTATTGGTGGGAACATGGCAACGAGAAAAACACGAATAAATTAGTCGAATGAAAAGCGTTCGTTGACCCCTGTGGGATTTAGACTGCCGGTTTGAAAGATGAGCTTTCGTTCAAGATTTTTACGGCTTTCCGTGCTACCTAAGTGGAAGGAAAGACCGCAGATTGCCATATGTTGCTTAGAATGATTAGGTAAATTAAAACTTGAAGTTAGCCATTGGTAGGAGTTCCGCAGGCCTGTCGACACTTTTATACTAGCTTGCATTACTAGGTCAGTTGACTGCTATTTACAACAATGGCAAAGTTTGAATTGGTCCTTGCTTGATCTCTTTCTGAGAAAATAGTGTCCTTGCATGACAAAGAAAAGGAAACGACAAAGGGAGAGTAAGAAAGCTACACCACTGATTGACAAAGAAACACAAATAGAAGGCCTAAGTATCTAAGTTTTTGTATCTATTCATTGATACCCCTGTGACTTTCACTTCTGTTCAAGCCATTAGAAACTTATGTATGATTCATCCTCTCTTAATAAGAAAACACTTACCAGTGCAAGCATAATTCAGAAATTACTGTCAGTGTTGCAAAATTTAGTAAGACAGTACATCAAATTTTTAGAGCAGTACAGTTTGACCGATATACACACGAACTCTACAGAAATCACTAAGCAGAAGAAAAAATCATTATTATATTCAACAATGATCTCAGTTAAGCTGTGACATTTTGGCTGTAAGAGTTACTTGGTACAATTGGGTAGCAATTGGTCAGTTTTGATGTGTCATTGATGTTCGGTTGCTCATCTTACACCCCTTGAATCTCTGCATCACCCACAAACCATTACTGCACTACATCAGTTGCTAACCAACATCAAAGAAAGGGAAAAGCTGACGAAAAGGCAGGGAGCAGTTTATAAGATCCATTGTTCTGACTGCCAAGCCTCCTACATTCGAGAGACTAACAGAAATTTCCCAAGACTGACTGAACACAAGCAATCAACAGGAAATGGAAATGTCAACAATAAAATGGCTGGGCATCAGTGACTTACAAACCATACAATGGACTGGTAAAGCATGCAATGGACTGGCAAACTATGCAATGGACAGGGAAACCATGCAATGGACTGGCAAACCATGCAATGAGCTGGGCGAGCATGCAATGGGCTGGCAAACCATGCAATGGACTGGTAAACCAGGCAATGAACTGGCAAACCAAGCAGTGGACTGGCAAACCATGCAATGAATTGGCAAACCGGGCAAATGACTGCACAACGCCCAACCTACAGTTTACAGCGGTAACTGTTTTTAACCACCAACTCTGGAAACCTGGTTTACTAACTGAAAACAAAATGCCCTCAGCAGGTTTCAACAATGTCTAGCACCATTAAAAGGACTTATTTAAGACATTTACACCAAAAACGAAACAAACGAGAACACCACTTGATCATAAATAACAATTTTGAGGTCTTTTCATTTTCAAGGTATTCTTTTAAAATCTGCAAAAATATGTTATGTTCCCGCACGGAGAAAAAATGCAAAAAAAAAGGAAAAAAGAGTTGGCGAAAATATCACCGGAGGATGAGTTGAATAGAACTACTAATGATGACTTAAGAGGCCTTCTTATCTTTTCATCTTTTTTTCGTTCGTTTCATCGTATGTATCATTCCATGCGCAAAAAGTTTCGATTCTTATCAAAGAAAGTGAATCATTCAAAACTTACCACTCTCTTTCCAGTTGATCTGCACATACCTTTGTGTGCTGACAACAACAAGCTTCAGTTGGAACAATGATGGAAAAGGACTACTCATCAGTAATTCCGAACCATTTTGCGTTGGGTTAGCTGATACAGCTGATCGCTGATCACTGATTCCCTTTGCGATGGTCAGCAGCTTTTCTTCGAGGGTATGTAAGTCATTCAGTAACGTCCACACTTCTGGGAAATATAAAACCCGTGTATCACGGACTACGGATTGCGGATCACCGACTTAGTGTAAAACGTCGGTGCTTTCAGTTCCCGCTGCATATTTCTTATCAAATGACGGACTTTTATATGATGGATACACTTTCTCGACCTTTCTAGATGTAAGGGGTTCATATATTTCTCTATCCAGCTTTCAAAAAGGAGGTTTATAAAACAACAACAACAACATCTTTGTTTATACTCACAATTTAACTTATAAATGAAGACTACCTGCAAGATAGCGAAGCTAATCGAGGCGGGTAGTATGAGAAACGTGTCAATTGCATATTAATATAATAAAAGAGAGACAAGGGAGTCGAACTTCAATTCCCGAAGAAGAAAGCATTTCAATATCGGTCAATATAAAAATGGTCTTTCCCTACCCCTACCCCCCCCCCGGGGATTTGTCAAATCCCTTGCGGTGTTAATTTCGCTCGCCCTCTGGATCATGATTGATGAGAAAATTTCAGGTAGGAGCACGGTATTCAGATATTCCTCTGAAGAAGGTTTGGGTAACCAGCAGGAGCCCATGTAATGGCTCAATCATAATTCGACCGGGGTAAGGGAGGCGGAAGGGGGGGGGGGTCGCCGCCAACAGAAGTATAAAAGGGAAACTATTGACAATTTGGGGAGATCATGAACATGTAACAGAGCCTTAAGGGTAAAAATAAAGACTCGTCCCTAGGAGAGACAATGGGATTGACCTTCCATTACCAGAGAATAAGAGTCTATAGTGAAGAAGCATTTTAATTGGTAAATTATTTCAAAGTGGTCTTTCCCTATCCCTACCCCCTTGCGTTCGCATTCACGGTAACGATTTCGCTTGCACTCCGGACCATGATCGAAATGAAGGTATGAAGTCTGTGATCAAACTAACCTCAATCTTGTAATGTTCAGGGCTTCGCTAATACGGTTCGCTTTCAGTTCGCCAGGTTTGTTCCGTTATACTAATTTCTCACCCCACCGTTCTCACTTACAGCGCATAACAAATACTACGTCTCCTGGGGCCTTGGGCGTGGACTTGGAGGCCTGGACACTACAAATCTTTATTTACCTTAAAGAACCTTAATTATACTCAACGGATTTTATAACATAACCAAAGTAAAGCGCGCGCTCTGATTGGTCAATTTAGCGTCCACCATTTGCCCATGGGTGTACGCTGCTGACGTGAGCAAATGCAAAGACTATTTTTCCGCGCGCGGTTGTTTTTTCTGGTCACGTAAGATTAGTTAAATAAAAGGGAACTCTTTAGCTACAATGTATCAATGTTATGTTATAAAACAAATGGTAAACTCCACAGCGTACACTATTGAGTTATGGATGCACTTGGGAGGTTTGCTAAGCACTCAAGAATCTAGAGTCGCTCTCGGCTATCGCCTCGAGCGACTCTTACGCTTCTTTCGTGCTTAGCAACCTCCCGCGTGCATCCATAACTCAATAGTGTAGGCTGTGGTGTTTACCATTTGTTAATTCTAAGCGAAGTAAAGCCTACGTGAGCACAAAGTGCGATCTTTGGTATCTGAGAATGATAATTCCTACCAAGAAAAAGTGATAAATCTGGATAAATACCAGGAAACTTCTTATCTAATCACAAGAACGGAATCAAAAAAGGGAAATCAAAACGCCTGGGTGGAAATCCAAATTAAAAATCAAAATAGCCTTTTTCACCGTTATTTTACCTTTATTAGAACCTGTGAATTCACTGTTACTTCCCTCAGTTAATTGTTCCTTTTTTACTTCTCTGTTTTCTTTGTTTTACTACACACAACGCCCACAACGAGCATGAGCCAAGTTACCATTTGTTAAATATATATATATAACTTTGACATTCACTGCCACTTACTAAATAATCATTACCGTAAAAAATGTATCAAAATAATTTGCTGAAAAACTACCTTTCTACTTTTCATTCTAAATTTAAATATATTTTAGCTTTCTTATAAGAAATATATCTAGTACATATAATATCAAGACCTCTTCTCTTAAGTTGCCTTTCCCATGTCGAGGAAAGAAGGTTGAAACGATTTAACTTTAAAATAACTGCGCTGAAGACTTTCCGATAAAATCAGTAAAATTTATGCACCAATCGATTGGAAATTTCAACTCCCCCTCAGCAACCTACGGGCATTCGACTGCCTTCCGTACCTGGGGATGAGAAATTTGTACTTTGCCTGTATGGGGTTGGGGAATTTGAATCGGAACTGTCAAGCTTTTCAGGCGGAACAAACGAATTTCATCTTTTAAAATGGAGGCAAAGTTCCCTTTTCGGAAAATATGAACAGAGCCTACATATTAAAAATATGAACCTCTTCAAGAAGAAAAGAAAAACAATTAGAAATCTAATCCTTTACAATCGGTGACACTTAAAACAAATAGTAAAAAGAGTTTTTCTTATAGTAATCTACTATTAAAAAATATTTTCAAAACCACTACTCTCTCGTTTAAAAATATTTAAGGTATTCAACCATTAGTTTGAAAATAGTTTCTAGTTAAATTAAGTGGTAGTCTTACTACAGTCGCCCTTCCATTTCCCTAAATTTACCGTCTACTAAACCCCTGAGTGACCAGCTTATAATTTCTCCTTGCAATATCACCCCTCAATCAAACATTAAGATCAGGAGAATAATAGAAAATGATCGACAACTACAGAACCTCTTGATTGTTAACCAAATTCTCCTCGTTAGCACCTAAGGAAATGTATAGAGAACAGTATGGAGAAGATGTATTCTGATATTAGGTTGTTAAGAGTTCTACATGTTCAAAAGTTGTTTTGGTAATCTCTGTTTAAAATTGTTTTCTCCGTAGACGTTGCTTAAACCGATGTTTGTCGACGGCTTCAAATACTCAAGTAAGCTATTTTTAAAATCCTAGGGAGAAGTCATTTTTTCAACCCTCTGTTTCTGATGTTCATTCAGTTAAACCGGGTTTAACTGAACATGTTTTAATGGTGTGAATGGGGTTTTAAGTCGTACATTCCATCTACATTTGTTATATAATTTCATATCATATATTCTAATATCACATCTGTTAATCATAAGAATTATTTCAGAGCATAATGAAAAGGCAAAAAGAGCCTAACTGCCCTAGTTCAGTACAATGCTATACTACAATTCTTAAATTTTCGAGTCATTTAGTCAAATCCTTGAAACTGGCAAGTGTCCGACACCAAAGTCAATACCTTGTCTTGGGACGTTGATGTTGTCATAAAGTTCAGAATCTCCGGTAGAGTTCACTGTCTCATTTGACATATATTCGTAGATGCCGCAGTGACCATTCAGAAACTAATAATAAAAGGAAATATATAAGTAAATAAATAATACAAATCAAGGTACATAGAAAAGGTAATTTGCCAGTACTTTACAGGGCGAGACCTCAGCTAACGCCGGAGAAATAGGGTCGAGGCACGTCGAGTAAAATATGCCTTACGTGGAAACAGTACCCCCTGCCAAAGCTATACAGTTGGAAACACATACAGGAGATACTACAGCGTTATTCGAGTGAGCCTGATCAACAGGACAGGCACCAAACGGAAATACCCAGTCGCAAGCTCAACTTTTCTTGGAGACATCTGCAAGCAGGTAACGTATGGCAGACCGCGCCCGTGAACTGCACAGGAGCTAAAAGAGTCACATTTCCTCACTAAAAGAAATACATTTTCGTTTAATAAATACTTTTTCATGTCGTTTTTTTCAATACCATTCACACCAAATCCTCTAAAAAAACTCACGAAAATGGAGCTTTTCTCTGGCAGTTTCTTTCAAATGCGCAGTTTAATGCGTGTAGAAGTGAAAACGAAAGGCTTTCGAAAATGTCGACGAAAAATGCGTCAAATATCGCTTAAATCTGCATTTTAGGGTGTTTTGGCGAGGAAGATAGACTAAACGCATAAAAAATATTTGAACCGTTTTCATATGAACATTCAGTAGTATGACTAGCCTGCAGTGCAGGTGTCTTATTAGGGCGAGTTAAGGTTATAAGCTCGTAATCGTTTACCCTAATGTCATGTTTGATTTGGAGTCAGAGTGGACGGTGGGAGTAGAGGGCGAGGGAAGGGCGGGAAGACGCCTGTCTGAAAAGGCTGTTAAAATGCGAAACGCCCCCTGACAACCGGAAGTCCTGAATTCTGACAGAAACAAACACACGTTGAGCCGATGAGTGAAACAGTAAGCGGTTTGTTTTTTTTTTCGGACAGGAAAGAGATGGCTTCTACAAAACCTCCTCCGCGGTCACAGATACGAGCTGATCTTTGCCGCTCTGTATATTTTCCAAACGATAATCTTTGAGTGTAGCGACGTTAATCCATTTGACGATGTTTCTTCTCTTTGATTACAAAGGATACTTTGAAGCGAACAAACAACTGCACACGAAGGTTTACCCGCTATAATTTGTTTGAAACGAACAAGCATATTTTGGTAAAACAGTGTAGCTGTTTCTTTCTTTTTTTTTTTACTTTTTTTCCATCGACGAAAGAAATGGCTTCGCCAAAACCTTTTCTGCTGACGCAAATACAAGTTGATACTTGCCGCACTTTGCACAGGCAGCCCAAGCTCACTACTAGAAAAGCGGACGTGACTCTTACCGTGTTGCACAACGTCTTATATTTATAAAGGTTTGCAGTTGAACACCAACATAGCGCTAACTCGCCGAAAACGCTTCAAAATGGCCTGAGATGTTAGGAATCAACAAAGAAAACAACAAGGCAATAAGGTAAGTCCATTTCATTTCAAAACAAGACATTTCTTTCTCTCTTTAAAGGCAAACCGGTAACACCCCATACAAACCTTTATAGATATCAAACGTTGCGCAACACGGTAAGAGTCACGTCCGCTTTTCTAGTAGTGAGCTTGGGCTGCCTGTGCTCTTTGTAACCTCCAAACGACAATCCATAAGCGTAGCTGCAGTTAATCCAATCGAAGATGCTTCTTCCATTTGATCATAAACAATACTTCATAGCGGGCAAACGACAATTACGCTAGAAGGTTTTTTCTGTCAAAATTCTTTTACGCGAACCAAGACCTGAAATATCAAGCTTTTCCCAAGCCAGTTAGCAACACGACCAGTAGGTCCTTCCCAGATACATACCAATTTCCGAAAGACACTTAAGTGCTTCCTCAAGAGCTGAATCAAAACTCACAACGTCATCTATAAAGTTTGCGATCCTTTTCTCCTTCCCGCAAGAGCGAAATGTTCAAATGACGCATTTGGCTTGTGATTGACAGCTGGGCAAAATAACACAACTCAGAAACTCCATTCGTGGGCGAACGGAGTTTTGCAAAACAACAATGAGTTCGGGCAGGCGTAATATTCACCCCCAAACCCCAGCCCCTCTCCTTATTTTTGACTGTCACTCACCCCCTTGGTACAATATTACTTTCTCTCCCCAGTCTTCCGCTTCCATTAAAATCAAAGATGGCAGCCATTTTTCGCTAAGAAAATGCTGAGCACTCGCTCGCCCAAATTACGCCTGCTCTGCAAGCTATAGTATGACAGTTGAGAGTAATATAAGTAACATGGCGTAGTTGAAAATGTTTTGTTTCGTTTCACAAATACGGACACTTTTGGGAACGCAAAGTGCGTTTGGGGCCTCATGATGAAAAAGTTACTTTCATTTGACCAAAAACGTACAGCTCCCCAGAACTGGTTTTCATTACATCTTAATTACACTGTGCAATTATTTACCAGCGGTCCTACACTTGTCCACAGAGAATTTTTCCTGGTACGAACCCTTTAAAGAAAGGGAGAAACATTTCATTTCGCTGAATGACTGAATGAGACTACAACATATTTGTGAAAAGCGAACCACAGGCAGCCCAAGCTCACTACTAGAAAAGCGGACGTGACTCTTACCGTGTTGCACAACGTCTTATATTTATAAAGGTT